ACTCGCTCGTGTCTCAATGTCGCTGCGGCGCAACGTTCTATTTCAAACTCGGCGACAGATACACGCGCACATCGCGCAAATGCAAAGCGTAAAAAGGATCAACGTGCAATATGCGGAAACACGAGAGCGCCCGCGCACGCTCGCACCGCATTATTCTTACTAATGGCGTTGGATAAACGTGCGAGAGCCTCCGTAATGAAAAGGCCACCTCTGTAAAAAGCGTAACTACGCGCGATAGTCCGGGTTAATCCATCCGGGGAGAAAGAGAATTGAAAACTGAAAAACAGGCGATACCTAAAATGCACAATTAACATCGCAAGATGCAGAGCTCGCTTTCTTTTCTACTTGTGAGATGCGTCACTATAATAGAAATGGAGTAAAAGTTAACAAAATTGCAAACATCTTAATAGAATATTATTAAATTTTCAGTTCTTTTATAGTAAAAAAATTAATATTTCAAAATTAAATATTTTCACGAGTTAATGGTTCACACGATAACGACAAGTTTATGGAAATTTTCTACCTAAAATTCAGTTTAATTGAACCACCGAGAGTCAAGATATTACTGCAACATGATGACTTTGAAAAGAAAATGGAAATATATTTTAACTGCATATACCATACACTTATATTGAGTACTTAATCATCAAAATTATATTTTTCCTCTCCTTATACGTTTTTCCTCTCCTTATACGTTGTATAAATACACGTTAAAATAACACTTTTGCATATTCATTCAGTTTGTCATAAGAAATTGTGAAAGAACAAGCACAATTTTCAGGCAATCTGACCCTCCAGTCCCCTTAATTGTTTAATATTTGTTTAATGTATGTTTAATTGTTTTATCTCACATATTCTATCATATATTTCACATATTCTATCTGTAGTCTAATAGATTTTTTAAAGAATTAATACATTGCATATAGAAATTACGAAGAGATCAAATGCAGATAGAATATCGAGATTAATCAAATAATAGGAATAAAATAATAAATCTTAACTCCCGTGTTATAATCTCTCTAGTTTTTAGCAGTTTTTAGCGATTATTCGCTGCTTGTCGAGCGTACGTCGTCGCGGATTGCGGAAAATTACGCGTTTCCATAAAAGATTATACATGAACGTTATTTTCGGTACATGAAGTTAGCGTGCCACCGCTGCGTGCTGTCGCTTGCAAATGTTATATCTTACGACGGGGATTTAATGAGGTCCTTCCCAGAGGCGAGAGGTAGATTCCCCTTTAGTTCAAAGAGTTGGCGCCTTTTACGCTGATGCGGGGCGCACCTTTGACGCTTTATCTCTTTGTTTGATATCATAATTAATTTTACGTTCTTATTCTCGCACATCAAGGGCTCGTGCACAGACACTCACATACATTTCCCCGATATCGCCCGCGGACTATCTGAATTCCAATGTAACGTAACGCCGCGAATACTCAGATTGCATTTCTAGCTTACGATATCACTTTTGATTGAATGCACAATTCAATGTATTCTATCCCTTATATAGTTTAGTTTCCGGGGCAAATCAGGAGCAAATCTCCGCGAACGAACGAGTACGAGGGTGAGGATAAAGTCGCGAATCTCGTCTCGCCGAAAAATCGCGCGTTTCTCGCAGCGGCTGTTCCGATTATCCACAGTTACGGGAACGAATCTCGGATCTACCGCGCGCAAGCAATCCTACCCTCGGTATGTGCACGCGCGGGCCTCTCGTGGACTCTCGTGCAAATGCATGTGGCCGTGCGGATGTGCGAATGTGCATAACACTCGGGGTATTGCTGCACATCAGCGGCGCGACGTGACTGCGCATCCGTTTACTCAGCCACGACTGTTAATTTCGTCGACATATTGAGCATATTTGAGCGTGTATACGGTGTGTCTACCGTCCGACGTTAAATGATTGGCCAATCCGAGAGGTTAAACATTGACTCTGCCGCGGGTGTCGGTACATACATACAGTCGTTCCCGTCACCTTCCTCTATCTCTCTCTTATCCTCTCGTTGACGTTACGCACGGAGGTAATCGTCATAGAGGTGGCGATTCATAATCGTAACGCTTAACCCCCGCGACTACGTTTCTGACGTCGTCGACAGGAAATGTCGCGCGCACACACGCACACACGTGTTGTACCCGAAATGGTAGCCTAAATTTCAGCCCTACTTTCAACCTCAACTTTCTGACATCTGTATATATTCTGAATGGTCAGTGTATGTTTAATGCATATGGAAAATGAAGTCTTACTTGGTATCTCTGAATGGCAGAGAATGCCACTTGCCACATTCTAAAGACCTCTCTGCAAAATATATATTAATAAGTTACGTAGAATTACAAGAAATTTATATATCTACAATCGCGCGTTTCTTGCCATTCTAAGGCCAGAGGAACTAAACAGAACTTCACTTTCTATGTATATTAAATATATACTGATCTTTCAGAATAAATATAGATATCTAAAAGTTCAGGTCGAAAGTGGGGCTGAAATTGCGACGCAGATAGAATAAAAAAGGTTGACATAGACTTCAGAGTACCAAAACGTAGATGTTAAGTGGAACATTAAGATCGAAAGGAGCAGAATTATGGCTCGGGATAACGCGTCGTCTGTCGCCGATCGCGGTTAAACGTTAAATTAAACTCGTACGGATGTGATACCCCCATTTGCCGGGTTTCCCGCAAAAGTCCGGACGAGGAAAAACGAAGAGAGGGAAGGAATTTCAACTATTAAATTACATAAAATTACGTGCGACCGTCTGAGGCGATTTTTCGCCCGCGCGCTCGATCCCTTCGAGTCGCCGCGACCCTTTTATTGCCCATCCCCGCGATTCCAGAAGGCCCCGAAGAGTTATAATTGCCAGCCATTGGGAGGACGCGGAAAATCGCTGTCTTCGTTGCCCGAGACCGTGCTTTTTCATGATCGTTGAAACTTATCGCTCGTTATTACTCGCATTCCGCCAGCCGGGCCGTAATTAGACCAGATGTCCCAAGAATTACGGCGGATCGATGGCGGAAGAATGCGCGAGAAATGCTCGCTCCGCCCGCGCGAGATCGGGAAGGTTGTCCCCGAAAACGTAAGTACTGGATTCGCAACGTTCGAGCGGCTCTTTACATATTCGATTCCGCCATAAAATCGCGCGGCTCGATCATACCAATTTTATAACAACAATAATAGACGACACCCAGCCGATAACGAGAGAACAACGAGAGGGAATAATAACGAGGGGACGAATGCGCGTTGGGGAGAACTTGGGACGTCGGTTACGAGGTAGCAAATGTCGAACGCGCTACTTGGCCGCAAATTAAATTTTGACATGGGACAGTTCAATTTGCAGTCCAGTTTGCGGTACACGCGCTCGCTCGCTCGTCCACGACGAGCATTTATACGGTGGCTCAAGATTTCATTAGCAAAAGGGTAAACTTATCGAAGTCATTAGCTTAATGCCGAACCCGAGTGGCGTTCGCGAGCGTCGTAATTGAATCGCGGCCGCGGATACCTTTGTGCGTCTCCGGCTTTGCCCGACTGCAGCCCGGTCGTCGTTGTAATTTAATCGGACGGTTGCTTTTATATCCGCGACCCGGCCGAGACTAATTTTCCCCCGCGAGGCGGTAGGCGAGCCTGTCCGTTCGATCGCCAGTAATTTCATATTAAATAGCGCGATGAACTGGAACCCGGGCAGATGGCCGATATTCAAATTGCACACACCGGCTAATTAATCGTTTCACCCCGCAATCTCATCAGACATCTCATTAAATTTGTTCTTCATGAGCGCCGCCGAACGTGCGCCGCCGAACGTGCGCCGATACTCGTTCATTAAGCTATCAATAACCGTACCTGCAAGTCGAAGCGCTCTGGATTTGTTACGCCGCATTTGCACACGTATGCGTTTATACACGTTTGTATGCACGTGTGCGCGGACGCGCAAACACAAATACGCACACACAGCCATGTGCAAAGCATAGGTTGCAATTCGGATATCTCTCGCATCGCCGGCGTTTAAGTAATTTAGCGTCGCGCACACAATTGACCGATTCGATTGGATCGCTCCGGGTGCATATGATTTATCCGCCGATGTCTTCGGGCACTCGAATGATTACTTTCGAGTGAGACAGAGTTGCCGAATCAGACGCGGAATTCGCGTCTCCCGTGTTACCAAACAATCATTCCCATTCCCATTTTCTCGACGCGATTTCTGCAAGTTTTTTTCTCAGCGCAGTGGAAGGTATTCCTCTTCTATTAAAGTGAATTATTAATCAGAAATCTACCACATACTATTCTAAATTTTTCCCCCTCTTTTGAATAAGGAGGAATATATTTTCTTGAAGCAAAATGCTCTCTTGCTGTAAGAAATTTCTATTAAGAATAAGACTTATACTGTGAATAAAAGGCAAAATTCCTTTAGCCTGAAGAATATTGTGCTTAGAATACTTTTCTTTTGGAGGAATCCTCTTGAGGCTATATGTAAGAGGATTTCGCTAAAGATAAGATTATATTTTCTTTTGAGTGTATCGTCCGCACGATACGAATATATGTCTGCTTCGATAAATTACCGTGAAAGACCACGCGCTATAGAAGGGCCTAGAAATGTGTGCGCGCGCGAGCGCGCGGTTCTGAAAATAGCTCGTCATTGAAGCTTCGACGCCCGACGGAGGGTGCTCGAGTCGAGAGGTGTATAACCCTTCGATGAGGTCATCCGCGCGAGATACAGCGGGTGAAGAAAGTATATCGTGTAACTTTTTCACCGAGCGGGTGGCTTTTAACGTTCCGCGGTATAATTAATCGCCGCGAGCACGCCTTGTATATTTATCCGTTGTCGTGGTCGAGAGAATGGGGGAAGGAAAGGGAAAAAGAAAATAACACAGGAACATCATCCCCGAACAGCACACGACGCGAAATCGAAACGGGATATGATTTCACGCGCGCACTATGCGCGACGCGCAAAGCGGTTATTCCGTGAGAATTACGCCGCGCTCTGCTCAGACATTCACGCGAAATCTCTCGTTATTTCGCAGAACATACCTGCAAGGATTTCCGGTGCACTCAGAATGAATTCTGCATCGAAACGGATCTCCTTTGTGACGGCGTGAATCACTGCGGCGACGGATCTGACGAGGCCACTTCCACCCTCTGTGCCAGTAAGTCCTAATTAACAGACAAATTCATCGTGAAATTATTATTTATAACGCACGGCGCACTCTCTAAAGTACAATCAGTGTATTCTTTCCTGAAATGCTGTACTTATAATTGGCGGTTTAGTCATAATTATAGCACTGCAATCACAGTAAAATTTCGTTGAAAGAATCAGTTAATGGTACACTGAGAAATAAAGATTGACAATTTATGTGCACGATTTAGAGTTTATTTACAATAAAGTTGATTACTGCGAAATAAAGTTTATTTCTGTGGAATTAAATTTATCCCTGCGAATAAACGTTACGTTTCACAAATAAATTTTCAAATATTTTTTCTCAGTGTTGCGACTGTTCTATTATTGACGCAGTTTGCAAACACAGCCATTGCACGCGAATCGTGTGAAAGCCGTAAACTCCATCGTCATAAACGCAGAAAATTGGATTTGGAACAATGTATAACGTATTTGTGTATCATATAGATTTTGTACATTGAGGAAAGAATACTTTATGTGTAGGATATAAAATTTCTTTTTCCTCAAGGAAAATTTTTATTTCACAAAAATAAACTTTATTTCATATAAATAAAAAAAATTTGTATTTCACAAATAAAATATTTTATTTCTCCTCAATGTACCAGTTGAAATCAACGAGATATAAAAGACAGAGTAGTATAAAGTAGCAGTATTCCCACAAAAAATCGGTAAATATTCACTAATTGTTGGAGAAATGCTCCTTTTATTGATCCAATCGGGAAGATTTTACTTTAAGAAAACATGTGGAACATGAAAATATAGTGGTATTCAAGTAATTCGCGAAATGAACATAAACGTCGTTTGTACGCGTCGTAGAGCGCCTTTTCGAGCAGCGGTAATTAGCGTGGTGCAGATGATAATAATGCGCCAGTTAACACGAGATCAATATGTTCGCCATCAAGCCTTATCGTATATCAAGGAACTTTGTGTACTCCGTGTGTATCTTTCGAGACACGCTACATTTAATGAGCAAAGCGATTTAGATCGCGGGGATACGATCTCGCATGATTTAGTGCTGTTAGTCATGCTGTTAGCTTCGAGTATCAGAACAGATAATGAGCGCACGGAAACGTGAATTTTCAAAAACACACATATATACATACATACATATATATACACATATATATATATATATATATATATATATATTTATTTATTTATACAAGGTTCGCCAACGAAAATTTTCCACTCCGATTTTTTGAACTCTATTGCTATTTAAAATTTCTAAAGAATAGCTACTTCAATTAAGAGAATAAAGTGATATAGTTAAATTTATCACAATTATACAGCCTTGAAAACAATATTGACGTGTATCAGTATTTTTGACAAAAATCGATTGATTACAGAATAATCGGGACGGGAAGTTTTCGTTGGCGGACCCTGTATATGTATACATATATAACACTCGCCGCGCCGTCGCAAATTATTTATTTATTTGTAGGCTATTCAGCGAGTTCAATTCGGCGTACTAAGCAATTATGAAACACGGTGAATTCACGCGATTCTCGCAGAGGGAGAAATATTCGCGGATGTATGTGTATGGGAGCGATAGTAATCCCGGTCTGTATAGGAAAGTTGCTCTTTCATCTAATTTATGAAAATCCAGATTTAATTTCTCCGGGAAATACACAGACCGCGCCTGATTTTCCATTTTCCAACCGTGTTGAGAGGAAGAGAGGGGAGGAGGGGCGGCGGCAGCGGCGACGGCGGCGGACGGATAATAGCAGTTGCACAGCTTCGGTGATTTATACACTAGACGCAAACGTAACGCGGCAAAAGCGCAGCGGTTGTTTTCCTCCCACGCGATTTTTGCACGGGGCGTGGCAAATTGTTGCAATTTCAGAGACGACAGAGAAACGGTTGCAAATGGGCGCGAACAGAATTTACATAACATTTATGTTAATGGGGTCGAAAGTACGCGCGCACGTCGACATACCTGAAGAGGTTAATTGCCGCGTATTCATTACATATCCATGGGCAGCTCGCGATAGTAGCGACAAGTAAATTACGAACTCGCCGAATAATGTCCGCGCGTGGGCGCGCGTGGGCGCGCGCGGAAATTTAGCATATTCCGCGGATATTTTGTTAATTCGCCGAGATCCCGTTGCAATTTTCGACTTCCATTAACGAGCGGTTAATTAGCGTATGTTTCGTAATGACGCGGCGCGCACGCATGTGTACAAGACAACCGGCGGATATGTATTCCGCAGGGGGATTAAAAGTTGCCTTCAAGTGTACCTCAGTCATTCTCGCGATGCAACCTTTCGCTGCAATTGCGCTAATGACACGCACTCGTGAGATTTATCGTTCGAGGAGGCGGTGCGCGCGTGTGCGGTGTGTCGACCGTTGTTGTTTCGCATTGGGCCGTTGCACGCAACCGTCCGCGATCGATTTGTTGAGAAAAAAAAAACAGAACAAACAAGAACAAACAAACGAGGAAAAACAAAAATTAACGTCGCCCATAAAAAGTTCTTTACTGCTCGCGTTACTTACGACCGTGCCGTGAACGGTGAAACGCGAAGCACACGTCGCTAATATCGATTTCCCGATTCGTCGAAAGTGCACGCGTGTCAGATATGTGTACGTGTATGTGTTTATGTGTCGGGTCTTCGATGAAACGCGTTGTAATCGCAAGGTGGGGCTCGACGCCTCTTGCAACTCTAGAGTTTCGGCGAATTCACCGTACGTTCGTTCGTTCCTTGTCTTTTTTATCAATATTGCACCACGCGCGCGCACATTTTCTATCTTTAGAGAGAGAAGAGAGAACATTGTTCTGCGTGAAATTTCATAACGAAATTCGGAACTGCGAATAACTGTCGTTTCGCGAAATTAGTCGGAACAATATAGTATAATTATATTTCATTTCCGCAATCGAGTTATCGTGCTTGCGTAAATGATATTTCCGTCCTTCTTTTTTCTTTTCTCTCCTTCTTTTTCATTTTAATCACAGCCTCACGCTCCGAATTAATTAGCTGATTCGCAAGTCAAGCTTGTATGTTATCAGTTCGCATGAGTCAATTTATAAGCTTACTTAAATCTCATTTACACGCTTTAGAAATTCATGTAATTTCGTGTTACAAAGAAGCCATGTCTTTATTTCTCTTCTTTTCCTCTCGCTGTATATATATACATATATATAATTTTCATTACATCTCCCGATTAACTTGAAACGGCGCCTTGGCCGCCGTGTAATTTCGCCCGTCGTCCCATTCGGGGACGCGAGGAAGCAAGTTAACGAAGAAAATTAAACTTCTCCCGGCCCGATTAACGGCTTTTCTTTGTAATTTCAGACTCTGAGGCATCGACGATCCTGGGCATGCAGACTACTTGGTTCGCCGTCGCCCTTGTTTTTCTGATACTCAGCGTAGGCTGCCTGGTAACGGCGGCGGTTCTCTGCTTTTTCAAGAAGCATGTTCTTACCCCGAGGCACCCCCATAACGCGCACAATGCTCAGTCTCATCCCCCAGTCAGCTTCCCATGTGAGTCACAAAAAACCCCCCTTACATGTACACGATCGATTCCGCGTGGCTGTTGTCGTCGTTGCCGCTGTCGGCCGGTACAGCCTTTCTACCGTCGGCGAACCGGCCTTCTCTTTTGTGGTTTACTTCGCGTACTGTTGCCTCAAAACACGGGCAAAACTTTTTCCCCGCTCGCCATGGACTGCGCGTAGAGCCGCTATTCTCTCTTTCTCATTCCCTCACTCTCTCACTATCTTACTCTCACTCGCTCACTCATTCTCTTCCTCCCCCTCTCTCTCTTTCTTTCTCTTTCTCGATTTTCACTCTGCTCGAACAAAAACCACGCGATTCTACGCGCTACAGTTACGCGGCTTACAGTTAACGAAGATGAAAATATTCTCGGGAATCGCGAATTGCCCGTGTTTTGAGGAGACTTTGTACGTAAATACTTGTCTAAGAGTAGCTCGAGTATCTCAGCAGATAGCTTATTTGAGAAACGCTCGAAGCTGTTCAATCGAGCAGGAAAATATCCTCAACAATCGGAGGTGCTCCGCGATAGAGTCGAGCTCGATCACGGGGCGTCTCTTTTGCGCAAACAGCCTGAGAAAATATCTCGCAAGAGATCTCAGCTGCGCGCTCTTTTCGCGTCGCGAATGTGTGTTTAAGGGGATATCCTAACTCTTGCACGGCGCGCACTGTGTCAGTAATCGCGGTAATTAATTAATTTTCCCCGGAATACGCACGCGTGAGCGGCTCGTAATTGGACCGATTTGCTATAAAGTTATGCGCCCCGGCGAGCCAACGATCAAAGGACGCACGCACGTGTAATTATGGTATAAAAGATTCATTTATTTATGGTGCCATTAGCGCGAACGCCGAAGCGTTCATTATGTTTCATATCATTATGTAGAATAGAGGTCACACGCACAGTAAGTATGCTCGATTGCAAAACACTTCACACACATTTGCGAAGTGCATCCAATGCACCCAATGAGATTGCAGCGCCCCCTATCACAATTCACACACTGCCGACGCGTTTGCGTTGTGGTCGGTTTTGCCAGGAGTCGAAAAGTGACAATACACGTAGAAAATATCTTTCTACAGCGAAGGAAAGCGATTATTCGCTTTACTTTCCTCGTTTCAAGTAATGTAGTTACCTAATATAAAAAATATTTTTTCCATAATAGTCTCATCACAAATTTTTGAAAGGTTCATTATCGTATATTCAATAGAACTTATTCTCTTTATCAAAATTTAATATCAATTTAATATCTTGATAAAATCCTGACTGAAGTGTTAAACTTGTTAGGATTCACAGAATTTGAAGTAAATTGGACGCACGCTCATAGCGAGGTCATGATAGACTCGCGAGTATATAAACTTATAAAATACTTAAAACAAGTAACATCTACTTCAACGCAGTATTTTTCAGTGTGTGCACGATGTAAGTACTGCTAACGCTTTATTATATTTTTACTTGACAGATAAAAACGTAATAAAGATACTTCTCCTCGATCTCCCACTGCAATTACGACGTTGGATGTCTCATACATCGCTTCCTATCACAGCCGAATATTGCGCAAACGCGTGAGCAATGTCTCTCGAACGCGATAACCTCCGAGGCACTGCAGTTTCATTGGGAAAAATGTGTACGGACCGTTTTGCGGTCGAGTATACACGTTGGGGAAATAATTCTCAATCGATCGCGCACGTGCACGTGCGAACGCGTGCACGCATACGAATACATCCGCGTCCTCTCGCATAAACGTTTCCTCCAGTAAACATTTTAAAGGCTACTTACGCGTGCCAAATTGGAAATCGATATCGTATTTCACGGGGAAATAAGTTATCGGTCGGAAGTCATCGATAACCGGTCGCTGCAATGCACACTTCTCCCTTTCTCTTTTCATTTATTTAGCACGCAATCCACAACGTATTCCTGATGACTTCATCTTTCGATCGCGCGCGCAGACTATTCATCTCTCAACGTGCACGGCTTATGTTCCACTACGAGATTGTTTTCATCTCTCGCGAAAATTTGCACAATATTGCTCTTGCTTCTTCCTCTTCATCTTCGAGCGCGAACTGTACGAAGATACTGCGACGATTTCGCGCCGATCTGAGACGCCACACGTGCAATTTCGATTAACCCTTACTGGTCACACTTCCTAATCGTAACAAGTTGGTCACACAGGGTGTGGCATACCCCAATGTCGTGTTGCCATTTTAATCAGATTGCGTTTTTAAATTATTTAGTGTTGACCCATTCTTGAAGGTCATAAAAACATGCTCCAATAGTTAAAAAAAAATCATATACTTAGATTTAGCGTTTGGAATTCCATTACCTCCGAAGAGAATTTGAAAATTGCTTGGGGTGCTGTACACCCGATGTAACCAGTAAGGGTTAATACACATGTTGCCAAAAGCGCGCGCGTGCTACATGTTTGCACGTCGACGCCTCGTATTACACGGCACAACGGTGTATTACACGCAGTAACGACGGATTGTTCCTGATTTGCGATTATCACGTTAGAGTTACATTTACGAAACGTTACATTACCGCGCACGCCTCTCTCGTCATTAGGCTTTGCGCGCCGATCGGCGGTACTCGATTATGCTGATCTCGTTCGAACACCCCGTATGCAGTATTTGCTTTTCATTTGATTGCATAGCGGTTTACCTCGCACTTCAGCACGTCATCTCGTTTCACAACAACGATTCTAATTAATTAATTTAACCCGGAGGTTTGACGGACACATTTGGCGAGCCGCGACCGTCCGTGTCGTTCCGCGCTGTATTTGCGGCTGGCCATTAAATTTATTTATCGATGGGAAAACTCTATCGCAGTCATACACACATGTATATATATATATATATATATATATATATATATATATATATACATATACACACCGAGATGAGATCGCTCCTCGGCCGCGACATTTATATCACGTTCCGTTTCCACGAACGATCTTGTTCGGATAAAACATGTTTTCTCTTCACCTGGAGGCGAGCGCGCCTCTCCTGACACACGACGACCTGCATCTCGCTGCGCTAGTAGAAAAGCAGAAACTATCACGTAAACACCAGTACGAGTTCCGACTGGCTTCTGCTTTTCTGCCAAGGTGTGAATTCTCTCTTAAGTTTCCTTCGCGAGTGACACTCTCTCGCGGCAAAGGGCGTCGTCCCTCTCCGCTCTCGCGGAGCTTTGAAACGTGCATAAAAGAAAGGAAAAGAATCGAAAAATTCCAGATTAGAGAGAAAGAGAGAGAAAAAACAGGACCTGTGAAAGCTTATCAGCGGTTGTTTGATGCGACTGCCTAATCAAGTTATTCACGGGAGGATCTCGTTGTTAGAAACAAGCGATGACACACGCGTCGAATTACCTTGCGGTCCTTCTCAAACGTATGAATTTACTCTCCTGCGAGAGACAGGAAGACACTTTCGCCCTGTAACGAGGACAAGCCAGGCTCGTGACGCCGATGACGCTCGCACCGATGACCTTCCGCGCGGACAAAGCCGGTCAAAATATCTGCGGCTGGCGTTGAATTAATCAGGAACCATCGGCGCGATTGAATTCCGGCTCTCGCCGCTATAATTAAGCAGTGAGATGATCGATAGACCGCGCGATATTCTCGTTTTACAACAACATCCGTCATTTATTTGCGCGTAACTGCTACCGCGCGCATCGACGGCGGCGACGTCGGCGATGGCGGTACTATCGATGGCGGCGGTGGTGCAACGAAATTAGAGGGCGGAGATACAGCGGATGAAAAAAAAAAAGAGAATACACGAGCAAAACCGAACAAAACGCGCGTCGGTGTTTTCATTAAGCGATCGGTCGATCGCCGCCGCTGCCGCCGGTCTCTCCGTTGCGTTCGTTTTATAATATCGTTTGGCTTTTCGCGATTTCAATCGGCGAGCATTTCCAGCACGCCGTATCGCGATGTTCCGCACAATTCCGCCGGTGTACCCGTCGTTGTTTTTCGACCCGCCGGTAATCGATAGCAAATAGCGCGTGCCTCGCGGCTTGTTCGTGTATCGTTTGTTTATTGCCATTACTAACTGCAAGAGACAGGAGAAGAGGGCGAAAACGAAAGAGAGAGCCAGAAAAACAGAGAGAGAGAGAGAGAGAGAAAGAGAGAGAAATGGACAGATAAATATATATCTAGGTGCATAGAGAGAAACAGAGAGCGCTAGAGCTGACGCCCACGCGCTTTTAAATTAGTTTAATATACAAGAGCCAGGACTCGCCCAGTCTCTCTCTCTCTCTCTCTCTCTCTCTCTCTCTCTCTCTCTCTCTCTTTCTATCTCTATCTATCTATCTATTCGTCTGTCTGTCTGGTTGGTGCGCGACGCCGCGCACTGCAAATTCGATTATCCGAAACAAACGACGGACGAGCGAGCGCACGTCGGATAATTAATTCCCGGAGAAATGCGCGCGAGCGCGCGTTTTCGGCTGACTAATGGAACAACGTCTGTTTCCGCGAGTGAGCGAACGGCGACCGAGCTTTGCGCGCACACAGCGCAACGCGCGAGCGAGTTAGTGCACCGTCGAATGATAGGTTATCAACGGATTATCGACGCGCCGTGGGTCGACGGTGGCCGAATGCGTGTTATAGGTGTGCTGTCTGATTCGCATCGGCGATACGCGACCGAAACTCATCGGTATAAATCAAATCGACGCCGAAGGAAGCCGACGTCGCCAGCGAGGGCGTGTGTTTCGTCGCGCGAGTTTCGATCTCCGCGAAAAAATTTGCTCAGCCGAGCTTGCCGCGACTTTTTCATTATTGATCGCCGACAGTCCGTCCGCGGTCGCCGTTGACGCGATCGAGGCCGTGTTTGTGTTTGGCGAAATGTAACGACGTTAATTCCGCTTTGAAAGCATCAGGCCCGCTGTTCTGTACATACTTGCCGACAATCGCCGGCTCGGTGCGCTAACGACGTCTGTCGTTAGCGTCTGTCATAATTGTGAGTAATTTTGCATCATAAACTATGAGAAATGGCGATTTTTATGCAAA